GAATAATGCAAACTAAAACTACATAATAATTCACAATCTTTAATTAGGGGTCTAACATGGCATAAAATAATATTATAATCTAACAGTATGTGTGTGTCTCGACCTCACACGAACTCTGTCTCATCTCACGAGCTAAAGCTTCTGACCGTTCACCAGAACAGAGGCTCATCCTAATATGTGTAATAGCCTATCTGAAACTATATATGTATTATGTTATGTTTTAATCAAGAACCACTACTAAAAGCTTAATCAAAAGATATAAATGAATAAAAGATAATAATGAATAACCTGGTTATTCAAATAGCATCATCCAAAAAACTCCTCAAAATAACTTACACTCTGCTTAGTTTCACTTTCGGGTGCAAAAGCATGTTGTTTCCTGTCAAGAGTTGAGCCTTCCTTATACAACCCAATATAATCAGCATATAAACATTTAAGATTATAAAAGAGGCATTCAAAGGCATTTAAGATTGTAAATTTAAACTCAACAGTTTAAAGTGGTTATAACTGCACCTGTAATAAAGGCTAATTGGGTGCCAATATGTTTAAACATCTGAATGCAATATCAATGCTGTAAATTACTGTATGTTATTAATGCAATGGTAGTGATGATAGTTATGAATAGTGGCAGTAAAATAATTTCTTTAATCCCACAGTCTGTATGCAGGCAGCAGCAGTATGGAACAATGGTCTGCCTTGCCAAAAGCTCTGTGGGGGAGGGGTTTGTAGCACTCTTTGAAGCTAACAATGGTCCAGTGTTTGATCACCTCTTGTGGGGAAGGAGATGTGCTGATAGTATTTGGGGAGAACCTTCTTCATGTTGGCTCTGTTGACGTCTCCCAGCACAATAAAGGCAGCTTCTGCATTTTTGTTCCCAAGTCCAATAGTGATGTCATACAGTTCGTCCATAGCTGTGGCTTTATCAGCATGTGGGGGAATGTAAACAGCTGAAAGGAGAAATGAACTTACTCAGGAGGTAAAAAGGCCTGACTTTAATGGTCAGCAGCTCGAGGCTCTGAGAGCAGTAGGTTTTTAAAATAAAGTTTTTAAGATACACACATCTCTAGCCCACAAAGACTTAACCATAAAGCACACCCCTCCTTCCCTTTTCTTGCCTGAGTCCTTCGTTCGGTCTCCCCGGTAAACAGTGAATCCATCCGGCGTGATGGCGCAGTCGGGGACGCTGGGCTCCAGCTATGTCTCTGTGAAGGCCAGAACGCAGCAGTTCCTGATGTCTTGTTGGTGTTTAATCCGTGCACGCAGCTCGTCAAGTTTGTTGTCAAGAGACTGGAGATTCGCGAGCAGGATGCTGGGCAGAGGTGGCTTGCTGTTTCTCTGTCGCGTTCGGCACAAAACTCCAGTGCGTTTCCCCCTGTTTGTTTTCCCTCGACGTCGTGCGAGTAAACAAAGGATCCCAGGCAGCAGAGCGTCCACGGAGTCGAAACCCGCTGTAAAGTCCGAACTGGGTGACGAACGTAGCTCCAAAATCGTTTGTCTGTCATACCGAGTGTATGATCGTGCTGTATGCACAGAAATAGAAAGCAGTACAAAATGAATAATAACATTTTTGCTGAGAAGACTGGGAGCTCTCGTTGGTGCAGCCATCTTATGGCGCAACTGGAAGTCAAGGAAGACTTTTTGTCAGCCTGGCTACAGAGCTGAAGAGAAACCTGGGGTTGTTCTTATTTTCTTCAATCAGTGATGAATAGTAAGATGTTCTGGCTTTGCGGAGGGCTTTCTTATAAAGCAGCAAACTATTTCTCCAAATGATGATGATCTTCTACATTTGTGACACGCCATTTCCTCTCCAGCCTACGAGTCATCTGCTTTAGGCTACATGTTTTACAATTATACCACAGAGTCAGGTACTTCTGATTTAAGGGTTTTTTCACAGGAGCTACAGTATCCAGAGTCGTACGGAGTAAAGCTTAAAATTATTAGCAGGATAATTGATGCCTGTGGGAGTCGTGTTCAGGTAGCTGCTCTGCACTGTGTGCACAAATTGTCACACATTACAAATAATGGTCAAACACTTAGCTGTGATTGGTGAAACATGTACACAGAGGGAAAACACATCATTTATACAGTTTTCCACAAATTTTGCTCCATGTTAAGATTGGAGCACAAACTAATATTAACCAGACCTCACCTTGTTGAAGCCTCGCAGGCCTCCATGCAGCGCATTTGGTCCATTGTTAAGATCCAGCTGGTACTCCTTTCCCTCAAGGACAAAACGTCCCTTTGCAATCCTGTTTGCCACACGGCCCACCACAGCGCCCAGGTACCGCTTATCTGATACATAACCTGACAACAAAGCATAATACTTCTTATTGATATATGGAAGCTGGATATTGTAGTGGTAAGACTACACACTTTTGGGGCGGGAGTCACAAGTTCGATTCCCACCCAGTACTGAAAATTCCTCAAGAACCTGATTCTGTACTGGACTCAGCCGTGAGAACTGGGGACCAGAATAAGGACCAGACTGGTGCACTCTTGCCTATTTCATGCAGACGTGTTAGCTGGATCTGTGATGAGAGGTGCAGCGATGTGCAGCATGCAATGTTGAAAAAAAACTGGAGTCCTCGAAATCAAGACAAGTGATGATGTTTCAGCTTTCGTATATTTATAGAGAAGACTTATAATGGCTGCTATTTTCTTTGTGAATCTTTGTTACATGGCAGTTTATTACAAGTACCATTAGTGTTAAAAGAGACAAAGGAAAAACTAAACACTTGACACACTGGAAAGTGCCAGTGAGACAGAGCTGCAGGCGTACTGCTAGTGACACAATAAGTATCAGGAATATAATGTGCACATTTTTAAAAACACTGCTGGGCGTTGTAAGAGGTTAAGATCAGTGAGCGCATCACCAATCCAATATATTAGTGACAATCATCTCTTTACTAAACAAATAATGGGTGTTTCCAGGGGTGGGAAAAGACACAGAAAGTCTACTGCATGAGCTTCACTTTAGCTGTCGCCTGATGTTCAGATTCATGTGAAGCAAAAAACAACCCACGATCACGTCTGCCTGCACTAGAGAACCTGAACAACAGACATCACTTTCAGGAGTTTGTGCTTAAATTAACCACTTTAATCATCTCATTGCTTTTTATACAATTAAACCAGTTTATGTGCAGATAACAACACAAGTTACTTTCCCTCCTACCTTCCAGGTTATCATAGCCAAGGACTACATCCTCCATTTGTCCATCCTTCCCTCTGTAGCTCACTGATCTGACAATGGCACCTAAGGTTAGGACTTCCACCTTCACCTGAGGAGACTGGACAACCCACAGGTCCACGGTGCCCTGGCCAGGCCACTCTCCCCATGGATGATGGCTTACCTGAGTCATCTTGGAACGAGCACAGGAACAGAACATAATGGTTAAAATGTTACTTCACATTTAACTCAAATAAGTTTGGTCAGCTCTTACATTCCCACAGGTTCAATATATCTTGTTCTAGCTCACAGTAGAGTCAGCAGTTTGTACAGAGGCTACGAACATCTGTGTGAAGCCTATTAATGCTCACTGGACTGTGCACAAAAGAGTCAAAATACCAGCTTACAGTATTCCCACGTGTCTCTTACATACACACCAACACAGATAGTAAAACCGCTGTTGTGCCAAAAAGTGACTGTCTGCAAAAAACTGATTTCCGGTATTTACCAAAAACTGATTGTTCGTATTTAAAGTGCTATAAGTAACGTGTTGGGCTATAATATGTGAAACATATGTCAACTGCGTCCCTCATGGATGACATAAAGTCTGGAGCCACAACAACATTCGTGTAACAGTAACAGCAGTGACTTTTATATAACCTTTATTTCAGCAGTAAAAAAA